AGCCTTTTAAAGTGCATTGGGCAAGGTATATTGCAGGGCCCATAGTCCTGAGGTAAGAGGCTGGCCAGCAGGCCCCTCCAAGAACCTGTGGCAAAGTTGCTTTCGTCACTATATATATATATATTCACACACACATATACACACACACACAAATACACTCTTGCATACATACACACATACACAGACCCGCACTCATATAAATATCAATACAAACAAACATTTGTCCTGGAATAAAGTCGCCCGGCACAGACCCACAAAATGCGGGACTGCCATGGCACACCCAGTGCGCACGGCTATGAGTGCACTATATAATGGTAAGGAATACATGCACACTAATAGTGAGCAGAGTGCACTGTATAATGGTAAGGAATACATGCACACTAATAGTGAGCATAGTGCACTGTATAATGGCAAGGAATGTATGCACACTAATAGTGAGCACAGTGCACTGTATAATGGCAAGGAATGTATGCACACTAATAGTGAGCACAGTGCACTGTATAATGGCAAGGAATACATGCACACTAATAGTGAGCACAGTGCACTATATAACGGCAAGGAATACATGCACATTAATAGTGAGCACGGTGCACTATATAATGCTAAGGAATACATGCATATTAATAGTGAGCACAGTGCACTGTATAATGGGAAGGAATACATGCACATTAATAGTGAGCACGGTGCACTGTATAATGGTAAGGAATACATGCACACTAATAGTGAGCACAGTGCACTATATAATGCTAAGGAATACATGCACATTAATAGTGAGCATAGTGCACTATATAATGGTAAGGAATACATGCACATTAATAGTGAGCACAGTGCACTGTGTAATGGTAAGAATACATGCACACTAATAGTGGAATACATGCACGTTAATAGTGAGCATAGTGCACTGTATAATGGTAAGGAATACATACACATTAATAGTGAGCATAGTGCACTGTATAATGGTAAGGAATACATACACATTAATAGTGAGCATAGTGCACTGTATAATGGTAAGGAGTACCTGCACATTATTAGTGAGCATAGGGCACGTCATAAATGGTACTGAACACCGATATTAAGCAGAGTTCGCTGTGTACTCATTCTGAGGATTGGCACGCTACTAGTGAGTATAGAGCAACGTGTAGTGCTAAAAGTACCTGCATATTAACAATGAATGTAGTGCAAGTTCAGCGAATAGTGAGCATAGTTCACTATATAATGGTACGTGTGCACTGTAATGGTGTATACTAACCGTGTTCTTGGTGCATTGGATCCATTAATAGTAAATATGGTGCACTTTTCAGTGGGCCTGAATGCACTCTATAATGATGATGACTACCGGCACACTAATAACGAAAATAATCCATTGTATAATGGTGTGGATACTGTGCACCAATAGTGAGCATTGTGTACTATAGAATGGCTCTTGAGTTTGTGTACATGAATGAGGAGTGTGGGACACTCTATAATGACTGAGTATCTAAACACTAATAGTGAGCAAAGTACACTCTGTAGTTGTCATGAGTGTCTGTAGACTAATAGTGAAATTGGTGGAACCTCTAATGGCTGTGACTATTTGGAGACTAATAGCAAATCTGGTGCCATTTACCGGAGTACTTTCGCATGTACCCGGCAGATCGCACGATGAACATCTATACACTTATAGTGAGCACTGTGACCTGCGTAATGGTACTGAATGTTAGTATTATCATAGTGACCTGAGTGTTCTCTACACATGTAACGTGTAATAATATGCACAATAAAAGTGAAAATGGTGCGCTATGTAGTATTTGTGAATATCTACACACTAGAGACCAATAGTACTCTGATGCTTTGTATCTACACTACAATGGTAAGCTTTGTTCACAGTATAATAGTACTGAGTACCTATACATTAATAGTAAGTGTGGTGCAATGCACCATTCTAGTACACAGACAGTGAGGATTGCACACGATATAGTATAGGAAGCATCTGCACGTTACAAGTGAGCTTAATGCTTGCACTAATTGGAAGTTGGGGAAAAACGGATTTAGTGGAGTTTAGGATTTTTTTCCCCAAAGTTGCCTTTTTTGGCCAGTTTTTAGTTGTATATTTTTGCTGCACGTTACAGTACACATCCCATGATTGCAGAGCACAATATTTTACTGAAGCTATGCGTACTGCCCTGGGTGTACTCTAGAATGATACAGATTATATACACACACACACTAGTACTTCACACAGTGCACAAATAGTGAGTATTGATGCTTATTACTGATACATTAATAACAGCTTCACATTTGTAGTCCTGTGCTTCTAGTCAGGCTTTAAAAGTTACTCGCCACTGCAACCAATAGTACGACTCTAGGGGTAATTTCTGTATTTCTCTATTTATATAGATATGTAGATATGGCTTCCCCCTCACCCCCCTTTTTTTTTTCTTTTTTTTTTAAATAGTCATGGAGACGTCTATTGTAAAACCTCAAATTTAATTATGGCCTATTCCAGGTCACTACTGCTCCTTCTAAATCACTGTTAGCCATAACTGCTCCCACTGGAAGGCTATTCCAGGCATCTACTACTCTTTCTATATCACTGTTACTGCTCCCACTGGAAGGCTATTCCAGGTATCTACTACCCTTTCTATATCCCTGTTACTGCTCCCACTGGAAGGCTATTCCAGGTATTTACTACCCTTTCTATATCACGGTTACTGCTCCCACTGGAGGCTATTCCAGGTATCTACTACCCTTTCTATATCACTGTTACTGCTCCCACTGGAAGGCTATTCCAGGTATCTACTACCCTTTCTATATCACTGTTACTGCTCCCACTGGAAGGCTATTCCCGGTATCTACTACCCTTTCTATATCACTGTTACTGCTTCCCCTGGAAGGCTATTCCAGCTATCTACTACCCTTTCCATATCACTGTTACTGCTCCCACTGGAAGGCTATTCCAGGTATCTACTACCCTTTCTATATCACGGTTACTGCTCCCACTGGAAGGCTATTCCCGGTATCTACTACCCTTTCTATATCACTGTTACTGCTTCCGCTGGAAGGCTGCTCCAGGTATCTACTACCCTTTCTATATCACTGTTACTGTTTCCACTGGAAGGCTATTCCAGGTATCTACTACCCTTTCTATATCACTGTTACTGCTCCTACTGTAAGGCTCCAGATAACAAAATCTTAACCAGCAACTTTTCCATATCACTATCACTAACTATCTTTAATCATGCCTTTCATCTCTCCTCTATCGCCAAACCTTCCATCTCTCCTCTATTGCCAACTCTCCCACCTTCCATCCTTCCTCTCCCACCTTCCATCCTTCCTCTCCACCTTCCATCGCTAGCTCCCCCACCTTCCATCCTTCCTCTCCCACCTTCCATCCTTCCTCTCCCACCTTCCATCGCTAGCTCCCCCACCTTCCATCCTTCCTCCCCCACCTTCCATCCTTCCTCTCCCATCTTCCATCGCTAGCTCCCCCACCTTCCATCCTTCCTCTCCCATCCTTCCTCTCCCACCTTCCATCGCTAGCTCCCCCACCTTCCATCGCCAGTTCCCCACCTTCCATCCTCTTCCTCTCCCATCTCCTCTCCCACCTTCCATCCTTCCTCTCCCACCTTCCAATCCTTCCCTCCCACCTTCACCTTCCATCGCCACCTTCCCACCTTCCATCCTTCATCTCCCACCTTCCATCCTTCCTCTCCCATCCTTCCCTCCCACCTCCATCGCTAGCTCCCCCACCTTCCATCCTTCCTCCCCCACCTTCCATCCTTCCTCTCCCTCCTTCCATCCCTACCTCCCCCACCTTCCATCCTTCCTCTCCCACCTTCCATCCTTCCTCTCCCATCCTTCCTCTCCCACCTTCCATCGCTAGCTCCCCCACCTTCCATCCTTCCTCTCCCACCTTCCATGCTTCCTCTCCCACCTTCCATCGCTAGCTCCCCCACCTTCCATCCTTCCTCTCCCACCTTCCATCCTTCCTCCCCCACCTTCCATCCTTCCTCTCCCACCTTCCATCCTTCCTCTATCTCTCACAGATTTAACCTGTCGCCCGATGTTTTTAGAGGTCACTTTGTCAGCTTTAGTGGGATATTTTTTACTGAAACCCCATTTCTTTATTAAATCTAGCATTCTCCGTTCCCATTGTTTATATGTGTACTGTAGCTGAACTCTCCCAGTGACACTAGGTCACGGATCGTGCTCACAGTTCTGCACAGATGACATTCTCCTGGGGCCCTTTACACAGCTGGGAACCGCTGGAGGGTAAAGCTTGCTGGGAGCTGCTGTAGAAATGTAAATAGAATGTACAAAGTGCACCAGATTGAATTAGGCAATTATTTTTTATTTTTTTCTGGTTATGTTATTTTGGATTTTAACCTGTTTTTGTTCTGTGCTGCTGATGTTGGCCGTAAGGATGACAGACCAGACTGAATATTTCAATAATGATCACAAACGCTCACGAAAGCCTTGATAGCAATCTCGGGTTTGTTTGATAATGTTTTAGGAGCTTTGCATGATAGATCACAATCCAGAAATGTCTATTTTCAGCTAGTATTACCACCTACGTTAGTAGTCATTAAAACCAGTTTGTAACACCGTTACTCACATAATCGACGACATCGCAAAGTTAATGACAAATCAAATGGATGCGTATAGGTAACCTGGGTTTGCCCGCTTTTTATAGCACACTAGTGATGACAATAGAGGACATGTGTGACATTAACCTATTTTGTTTCTCTACATGTGTTGATACATCTAAGGACTCTATTGAGTGCTGGTACAGGGCTCTGTCCCGGGCATGCTAAAAACATGCATTGTAAAGCCTAATGCCCACTTGGATGCATGTTTTGTGCCTGTGCTATGCTTGTGGTGGTATATTAATGGGTTATTCTATTGGTATAGGTTTCATGTGTTGTCACAGTTCTACGTTCAGATTTTTTCTAGCAAGGTGTTTGAGTTTCAATCCATGTATTGTCTTTTTCAGTACTAGTGATGTAGTTACTATGTGTTGTTCATGCTCTAGCCTGGTTGTGGCGTTTCCATGCTCTGTGTTTGCTGTGGAGTTTCTGTGCGTTGTCCATTCTGTGTGCTCGCGATGGAGTTTCTGTGTGTTGTCCGTGCTGTGTGCTTGCAATGGAGTTTCTGTTCGTTGTCCGTGCTGTGTGTTTGCGGTAGAGTTTCTGCGCGTTGTCGGTGCTCTGTGTTTGCTGTGGAGTTTCTGTGCGTTGTCCGTGCTGTGTGTTTGCAGTGGAGTTTCTGCGTGTTGTCCGTGCTGTGTGCTTGCGGTGGAGTTTCTGTGCGTTGTCCGTGCTGTGTGCTTGCAATGGAGTTTCTGTGCGTTGTCCGTGCTGTGTGCTTGCAATGAAGTTTATGTGCGTTGTCCGTGCTGTGTGCTTGCGGTGGAGTTTCTGTGCGTTGTCCGTGCTGTGTGCTTGCAATGGAGTTTCTGTGCGTTGTCCGTGCTGTGTGCTTGCGGTGGAGTTTCTGTGCGTTGTCCGTGCTGTGTGCTTGCAGTGGAGTTTCTGTGTGTTGTCCGTGCTGTGTGTTTGCGGTGGAGTTTCTGTGCGTTGTCCGTGCTGTGTGCCTGCGATGGAGTTTCTGTGCGCTGTCCGTGCTGTTTGCTTGCGATGGAGTTTCTGTGCGTTGTGTGTGCTGGCGATGGAGTTTCTGTGCGTTGTCCGTGCTGTGTGCTTGCAATGGAGTTTCTGTGCGTTGTCCGTGCTATGTGTTTGCGGTGGAGTTTCTGTGCGTTGTCTGTGCTGTGTGCCTGCGATGGAGTTTCTGTCCGTTGTCCGTGCTGTTTGCTTGCAATGGAGTTTCTGTGCGTTGTCCGTGCTGTTTGCTTGCGATGGAGTTTCTGTGCGTTGTCTGTGCTGTGTGCTGGCGATGGAGTTTCTGTGCGTTGTCCGTGCTGTTTGCTTGTGATGAAGTTTCTGTGCGTTGTCCGTGCTGTGTGCTTGCGATGGAGTTTCTATGCATTGTCCGTGCTGTGTGTTTGTGGTGGAGTTTCTGTGCGTTGTCCGTGCTGTTTGCTTGCGATGGAGTTTCTGTGCGTTGTCTGTGCTGTGTGTTTGCTGTAGAGTTTATGTGCGTTGTCCGTGCTGTGTGTTTGTGGTGGAGTTTCTGTGTGTTGTCTCTGCTCGTTGTCTAGAGTGGAATGTCTGATGGGGCCATTTACAAAATGAAGTTGGAGATGTTTTACAGTTAAACTATTTTGGTCTAAACTTGCAGTTCCTTGTAATCCCCACCTTATAATAGGACATGTGATAATGTAGTTTCTGCCCCTGGGCTCTGTTGCTTTCAGGGTTTTGTGAAGACAAAATCCTTGAATGGAGAAAACGTCATTCAAACCGTGGAGCGATGCGTGATATCATACATCCACCAAGGTGATTACACCCCCAGGCAGCGTTCATGTTAACTATTCTCGTAAAACGACAAATAATGAAAGGTGTAGAAATAAATCCCATACTCGTCATGTTTTTATGTTTAAAGCGGCACTGTCATGCCGAACTTGCCTTTCCTCAATCTCTTCCTCTTCTCCCCCTCTCTCAGGATCTGTTCTTCTTTTCTTCCTGTCTTCTTTAGTTTTCTTTAAAATCATAAGACAAAGTAGGGACTCTTTGCCTTATGCAGGGTTCCTCCGCTTGACCAGCTCTGACCAGCGGAGGAGCAAAGTGTGCTTCATTTCCGCTGGTCAGAGCAATTTTCCCATGATCCCTAGCTTTCCTCAGTGTTCCCACAATGCTTCCTGTCATTTTACATGAAACTGCCGAATTGCGTTCTAACTGAATGACAACAGTCTGTTCGTTTCTTTTAGAACGCAATTCGGCATTTTATTCGGATCGGAATTTCATTCTAATGAATGAAACTCTGATCCTATTCATTGCTGTGGCTGCAGGGAGCTATCTACTAAAAGGCTGAAAGACCTAAATTGGTCTAACAGCCAACTTTACTAATACTAAGTAAAGATTACTTAGTATTAGTAAATAATATGCCCCTACTCGCTATATCGCGAGTAGGGGCATGTGTAGTAAGCAGTGAGCAGCTTATAGCTGCTCACTGTAAAAAAATAAAAAAAATAATAAACCCCCCCCCCCCATGCCCGTGGGGGCCCTAAATAAAGATGGGGGGGAACCTACTGGCCCCCACCCCTGCGCGGTGGGTGGGTGGGGGCCCTAATAAAACAATAAGGGGGGGGACCTACTGTCCTCCCCCCCGGCCCCCACCCCTGCGCGGTGGGTGGGGGCCCTAGTAAAACAATAAGGGGGGGGGACCTACTGTCCTCCCCCCCCGGCCCCCACCCCTGAACGGTGGGTGGGGGCCCTAGTAAAACAACAAGGGGGAGGGACCTACTGTCCTCCCCCCCGGCCCCCACCCCTGCGCGGTGGGTGGGGGCCCTAGTAAAACAATAAGTGGGGGGACACCTACTGTCCTCCCCCTCCTGGCCCCCACCCCTGAGCGGTGGGTGGGGGCCCTAAATGAAACCCCCCCCCCAATCAAGGTGACTAGGGGTCCCAAGCCCCTAGTCACCAACCCCCCACCCAAAAAAACCTATCCCCTACCTACCCCCCTCACCCTACAAATAGTGAGGGGGAAATAAAATAACTAACCTGTAAAAAAAAAAATTAAACTTACCATTTGACGTCTTCTTTTTTCTAAAATCTTCTTTCTTCAGCCCCCAAAAAGGCCAAATAAAAATCCATTACACCCGTCGCACTTTAAAAAAAAAAAAAACGAGCGCAAAAAAAAATAATCCATGTTCGCCCTTCGAGGGCACGCCGCATACTGAGCTCCGCAGGGCGGGTCAAGGCTTATAAAGCCTTGCCCCGCCCTGCAATTAGGCTTAGAACACTCTGATTGGTGGATTTAAGCCAATCAGAGTGCTCTGAGTCATTTTACACAGCGTGGGAAAATTCAAAAGAACTTTCCCACGCTGTGCTCAGAGTGCTCTGAGTCATTTTACACAGCGTGGGAAAGTTCTTTTGAATGTCTTTTTTTTCAACAGTGAGCAGCCACAGGCTGTTTAGGAGACATGCCCCTACTCGCGGTATAGTGAGTAGGGGCATTTGGGAGATTTAAATCTCTCTTGTGCTATTATGGGGTCATATTGACCCCCATAGAGTGAGAGGGGGTACTGGGGGGCTTATGAAGTGGTGGGGAGCACTGCTCCCTGCCACTTCTATAGTTACATATTACAAGGAGGGAGCTGCACGCCGGTAGCTCCCTCCTTGTAATAAACTGCACGAACAAACATACACTGATACTCAGATACACTGATACATTGTGTTTGTTTGTTCGGCTGATATTTCTATTCACTCATTCGTCTGTCTGATGAATGAATGAATAGATGAAATTCCCGTTTGCATGTCCAGGTGTTTCACTGGGCATGTGCGGGAATCTCACAGTCTGCCTAGTGTGGGCTGATGACGTGTCCCTGAGGGACTTCACCTACCCACACAAAGATGGCGGCGCCCTGAATCAAGATCGGGGCAGAAAATAAGGATTAAAAAATAGGTAATGTGGGGGGTTTAGGGGCATTTGGGGGTGACTAGTGGGTCAATTGGATGTAGTGGAGGCGGGAGGGGGGTTAAAAAAAAAACGGGTTTCGGCATGACAGTGCCGCTTTAAGAGAGATAATCATTTTCTCTCTCTCTGTAAGGATTTTTTTAAATGGTATAAAAAGCTATTCTGGGGTAAAGTGCTAAACATGGAGTTTCTGTGCGTTGTCTGTGCTGTGTGCTTGCGGTGGAGTTTCTGTGTGTTGTCCGTGCTGTGTGTTTGCGGTGGAGTTTCTGTGCGTTGTCCGTGCTGTGCGAGTGGTTCAATGCGAGTGGTTCTTGTGCCCCTGAGTTGCCCAGAGTCCATATTAAAGCGCCCATCGTCAGTCTGTTATAAATCCCACATTGTCCCTTTGCTCACACAGAATACTCCATAAATAATATCAGGAAGTATTACTTTACTGAGAGGGTAGTGGATGCATGGAATAGCCTTCCAGCTGAAGTGGTAGAGGTTAACACAGTAAAGGAGTTTAAGCATGCGTGGGATAGGCATAAGGCTATCCCAACTATAAGATAAGGCCAGGGACTAATGAAAGTATTTAGAAAATTGGGCAGACTAGATGGGCCGAATGGTTCTTATCTGCCGTCACATTCTATGTTTCTATAACGTGCCCCAAATCAATGCTTGTGGTTCTTGTGGTTCAGTTGCCTGGAGTCCATATTACAGTGCCCATCGTCAGTCTGTTATAAATCCCACATGGTCCCTTTGCTCACACAGAATACTCCGTACTCCTGTACAGCCGTCAGGTATTTCCTCCGATCATTTCACGGTTTGATTAATTAGTTTTGTTGGTTAGATTGTGCAGTGATAATGTCACTGACGAATCTTGGTCAGACACCTCACCAGTAAGTATCCCTACCGATATATATCCACCAACCTTTAAATCCTCACTGACTGTAATCAGGGCCTTGTCAGGTATCCCTTTCTATAATTGTACAGCGCTGTGGAGTATGTTGTTGCTATATAAATACCAATAACTGGATTTTGCATCTGATATAACCCGGAGCAGTTCTGTGTGCACAGCCAGAGCTCCCGCACCCCAGGAATATGAGAATACTAGCTAACCTCTCCTCTCTGGTGCTGTACACATGCATGTGTAGAATTGGTTGGTGTGTACAAGATTGTATAGGTTAGGTAAACCAGTCAGTGTGTACAGCACTGGTTACATAGAGTTGGTAGTGTTTACAGTAATGTGTATATTTGTAGATAGATCAGGCAGCACGTACGGGACTGTGTATATGGGTATATAGAGCTGGATGTGTATATTGCTTTTTATTGGGTATATAGCATGGAGAGTATGTTCAGGGCTGTGTATATGGATATATAGAATGGAGAGTGTGCACAGCATTATGTATATGGGTATATAGCATGGAGAGTGTGTACAGTGCTGTGCATATAGCATGGAGAGTGCGCACAGGGCTGTGTATACAGTGAGGGGGGAAAAAAGTATTTGATCCCCTGCTGATTTTGAACGTTTGTCCACTGACAAGGAAATGATCAGTCTATAATTTTAATGGTAGGTGTATTTTAACAGTGAGAGACAGAATAACAAAACAAAATCCATTGATATACATTGATTTGCATGTCAATAAGTGAAATAAGTATTTGATCCCCTATGAATCAGAAAGATTTCTGGCTCCCAGGTGTCTTTTATACAGGTAACGTGCAGAGATTAGGAGCACTCTTTTAAAGGGAGTGCTCTTAATCTCAGCTTGTTACCTGTATAAAAGACACCTGTCCACAGAAGCAATCAATCAGATTCCAAACTCTCCACCATGGCCAAGACCAAAGAGCTGTCCAAGGATGTCAGGGACAAGATTGTAGACCTACACAAGGCTGGACTGGGCTACAAGACCATCGCCAAGCAGCTTGGTGAGAAGGTGACAACAGTTGGTGCGATTATTCGCAAATGGAAGAAACACAAAATAACTGTCAGTCTCCGTCGGTCTGGTGCTCCATGCAAGATCTCACCTCGTGGAGTTTAAATGATCATGAGAACGGTGAGGAATCAGCCCAGAGCTACACAGGAGGATCTTGTTAATGACCTCAAGGCAGCTGGGACCATAGTCACCAAGAAAACAATTGGTAATACACTACGCCTGGATTTGTAGGACTGAAATCCTGCTGCGCCCGCAAGGTCCCCCTGCTCAAGAAAGCACAAGTACAGGCCCGTCTGAAGTTTGCCAATGAACATCTGAATGATTCAGAGGAGAACTGGGTGAAAGTGTTGGTGAGACCAAAAACGAGCTCTTTGACATCAACTCAACTCGCCATGTTTGGAGGAGGAGGAATACTGCCCATGTGTCATGATCTTGTTCAGGTCAGGAAGCTTTGGCCAAAGAGGCTTTATTTGCAGGTTTTGACATAACAGCAGTTTAATTTGTAGAATAAATAAGAAGGAAAGGAAGAAATAAACATTAATGCAATATGCCCTAAATAGAAAACTAACATGTGTGCAAATAATAACGCTGGATAAAGTATAGGAAGAATAATAAGACAGGTAATCGGAATTATA